ATGACGTTACGTAGAAGCAGTTCTTCTTCATTTGGAAGAAATGCTTCAGATCTCATGTAAACACAGCAGTTCCCTGCTAGTTTTCCAAGTTGTCTTATGAACATTCCCTTCATGAGGGGATTCTTAAAGTAGTGGCATCTTTCTGTCAAGGTCAGGATTACCAAGCGAGGCAAAGCACAACATCCCTGCATGGGCAGATTCCTCTTGATAACAGTAAAAATGTTCTTTAGATGGGGGAATCTCAGGATATGTGTGCAAAGTGGAGTTTGATGATTTTTTGCATTTTTGGTTAAGAAAATGCTTTGCTGAGAATTTGAAGGAGAATTATATTGGCTGTGTATTAGATTGCTTTCTTTCATACACAATCAGTGTTGTTTTGTGTTTGAAAATGATTAAAAACCAATTTTCTTGTAGCTGAACTGTTCTCAGCCACGCAGTTCTGTTGGCAACAGTGCAGGTAGTAATTGTGTATACTAATTTTAAGAGGCAATTATCAATTTGTTTAATAAGTGACTAACAATTAATGCTAGAATGGGAATTGATTTGCTATTGCTTTCTTTGAGATATTTCCTAAATGAAAAGGACAGGAAAAAATATCAAGGATATATGTATACATATGCATATGTATGTATATGTGTATGTAAAAGTTCAAAGAAAAATGGCATGTTTTGTTAGATTGGTTGTATGCCAATCTGTTATGCAAGCTATAGGAGTTGACTAGATATGTGACGGTGCTAAGATTTAATGCACTGAATTAAATATGGTGGATAACATGAAAAAAATATGGTGTGTTCAGAGCTTTATTCGTTCTTTGCATATTTAATATGAGGACTTGAAGCAAGTTTCTACAGGTTTGAGCCTTATACATTAGTTGAGAATACAACCGTGCAACCCACCAGGTAGCAAAACTGTTCTCTGTGCTAGCTAAATACTACACTTCAGAAGTGGATGAAGCCAGGATCTGTTTTGGAGTTTTAAAGAATGAAATGAGTGCCTTAAATATCAACAAAGATTAAAACTCTAAGCTTACTGCTTAAACCTCCAAACACTAAAATGAATGACCTCAATTTTTCGTCCATTCTGGATAAACTCCAGGGCTGCAAAAAAGATTTCATTCATTCATTCATTCATTCATTCATTCATTCATTCATTCATTC